CATAGTGTATGCACATTTTATCAATGAATTGTCAGCAACAGAATGTACAAAATCTAACTGTTGCCAACAGATTCCTAGATAATTCTTTTTTTTTTATTTCCACCCTAGCCCACAGTCATGCTTCTGTGTAAGTCAGTAATATTTACACATCTTCAAGTCAGGTGTTTCCTTTGAACTAAGTATCAGTTCCTAAACCCAGAAGAGTGAGAACTTAAGGCCACATGGTTACGGAGTGACAGACCTAGAATAGTGAGCACTTAGGGCCAGACGGTTGTCAAGTGGCCGGCCTAGAACTTCAACCTGGATTTCAACCTGGATTTCTCCAGCTGTTTTTACAATGAGCACTCACCTCAATGCATTTACTTGCTTGCCTGGGTGGAGGGAACAGAAGAAGCATTTTTGCTTTGCAATGCTACCTTGAAGAATGAAATGAAATGAGGCTGGAGAGATAGTTCAGCATTTAAGAGCACTGGCTGCTCTTCCAGAGGACATGGGTTCAATTCCTAGCACCCACATGGCAGCTCACAACTGTCTGTAACTCTAGTTCCAGGGGATACGACATCTTCACACACGATGCACATAAAACAAATTTAATTAAACTATTAAGAAAAAGAACTGAATGGGACATCTAAAGCCACTTGTATACAACACGCTTGCATTAACAGTGTTGAACCTTCTAGTCTCCCTGTGACCCAAGATGGGGTGGGGAGATGGAGGGTGAGGGGTGGAGGATGGGGATACGGGATGAGGGTGTCTTTCACCACAAGGCCCTCTTCAGTCAGTGTCCAGTGGCCCACAAGAAATGCCACCAGAGTCCCACCTCCATCATCTGTACATTCAAAGTGTCTTTCCCTTGCTCATTACATCACCTCAGAGACACTACTGGTGCTTTCATGACTGCTGACATACCAGATGGTGAGCAACATCTGGTCACAGCACTGGTCAACACCAGAAACAAATACAAATAGAATCTGGGTCCAGGGAAGAGCTGGTCCTCAGCAGGCAGGCAAAGCCCTCTGCTCTGCCATGCTGAGCACACAATACTCCAGGACTCATCAATCCTCATGCCCCGTCTGAGCTAGTAACACAGAAGAAGTGAAACTCGAAATTTTGTCAGTAATGTGCCTGACTAGGAAGAAGCAGAATCTAGAGTGACTCTCTTAGTGTCCTAAGGCCTTTAAAGGGTTTGTTTGCCGCCCAGTGTAGTGGCACACTGCTACAATCCCAGCACTTTGGAAGTAGAGACCGAGGGATTAGTAGTTCAAAGCCAGGCTCCATTTCACATCAAGTTCAAAACCAACCTGGGTCATACGGAAGAGAAAATGGGGTGGGAGGGGGAGGAAAGATGTGTTTGCGGCTTTCACACTATTGCCATGAAGTCTTAATGTTCTAGCTTTAGGAGAAACAGAATGAGAACAAAGCACAAGCAGTGTTTGCAATATCCTCAGATCAAAGCATCTCACCACACCTCCAACTGCTTTTCTAGCAGGAGTCTCACTGCCGGGCCCGATAGAAGCCAAGCATACCCACAGGAAGCATTTCTGCCCCAATAAATTGTCTATGTATAGAACATCTTGGCCGGCTGTCCAACCAGCATTTGTCTCCCACTTGTTTGGTGACTTTGTGTTGCTCTAACAAAACACCATGACCAAAAGCAACTGAAGGAAGAGCATACTTGTCCTTGCTTACAGATCCAGAGGGAGAATCCGTGATGGTGGGGATCATAGCTCAACTCCATGCAAAGAGCAAAGAGAACTGGAAGTGGGGTTTTCAAGTCACAAAGCCCAGCCTCAGACATACTTCCTCCCTCAAAGTTCCGCCTCCTAAAGGTTCCATAAAGCTCCCCAAGCAGTGCAGCCCACTGGGGACCAAGGGCTCAGATACTTGAGGCTATTGGCTATCAGGGGCATTTCTCATTTGCCACATCACTAAAGGTCTTTTGGTGCTAACCATGCCCATTATTTATTTCTTGGGGACAAAAAACACAGATGAGCAAAGTACTAAGTCCCTTTGGGGAGCTACAGTGCCAAAATTAATGGCAATATAATGAAAAGTCAACATATGATGGTGGCCTTCATCATCATCATACACTCTGTGGAGGGGCACACAAGGAAGCCGTGAAGAGTTCCAGAAGCGATCTTCGAATAATGGCAACATTGAAGAAAGCCACTAAATGATAAAGACAAAAATCTTTCCGCACCGATTTAAAGGTGAAGGAGCACTGACTTCATTTGTTTGACTAGCTGTTTGTTTTATTTGTTTACTTGTTTTTGTCTTATTTAATTCTGTTTTGTTCTGTTTTGGTTTTTCATACAGGGTATTGCTATGCAGCCCAGTCTGTCTTTAAACTTGAAATCCTTCTGCCTCAGCCTCCTGGGAGTTGGAACTAACTGTACGTCACCATACCTCAAGCTTTCGGAAGGCGAAGTCTGGCAGCGCTTAGGCAAACTGGTATTTTAAAATCCCCGGTTCCTGTCAGGAACTAGTAACTGGTAAAGAAAATCTGAAGAACCGTAGCAGTTTTCAAAAGTCACTTCACCAAGTCAACCAATTACGCAGGCAGTGTTTTGACTGGTGGACTCCTAGGGTCATATCCTCTGCTTAGTCTCAGATAAATCTCCACGGATTAATAACTCCCACGTGGATGAAGCTCTAAACCTGTCTTCGATGCAGAAAATATTATGAACGTCTTTCCTTTGATAAAGAAGTATTTAAAATTCTTTCCTTTGGCACAAAGGTATTTAAAGGAATTTCCTTTAAAACCAAGCATTGAAAGCAATTGCAGCTCTTGTGGAGAAATTCATGTGAAATCCTCAAGGTGGGGACAACTCTTCAATTTATTTACCTCACTTGGAATTTAACTGGCCAATTTGGGTTCTCTGGGAAATTCCTGTTACATGGCAGACGTGAAGACGTGGGCTGCTAGGAGAGTGAGCTAGAGAAACTGGGTGGTTCTCTGTCTTAAAGCCGCTTAGCCTAGGGGCTGAAGCTCAGTGTCAGAGCACTTGCCTGGCAGGAAGCCCTGGGATTAATCTCCAGCACTGTTAAGACCAAGACCATACATTTTCATAGCAGAGACACGGTAATAATAATTTTTCCCACTTGAAATCAAGCATGTATGGAGCCTCCTCTTTAGTTAAGACAGAGATCTAACCACCTGATTTGAATATAGCACTAAGTCTTGCCCCCTGTGTGGTCTTAGGCAAGGAAACTCACCTGTCTATGCCTTCTCATTTATTACAGACTGATTTTAGGGTACCCACCACAGACAAGGGTTGAGCCATCTGAATAAGACAAAGCATGCAAAGCACTCTGGCTCCCACGTCATCACACTAGAGATGCTTGCACATCCATGTCTACTGTTTACTATTCAGTCTAAAGGCCCATCCCACAGACGACCGGAAAAAAGAAATGTGGTATTCACACAACAGGGGTTCGTTATATGTATATACCATAACTCAGTCATAAAGAACAAAATTAAGCATTTTCAGGAAAATGGATGAAAATGGAGATCATTTGGTAAGCAAAAACCAGACTCAGAAAAACAAATATTGTAGGCTTTATCTCATATACAGAATGTAGATTTAAATTATATGTATTTATATAGGTATATGTTATACTGACTATAAAGTAAAAGGAAGATTATCAGAAGGGAGGAAAAAGTCTGAAGGGTGAATCAACAGAGGTTCATGAAATATGTATGACATAAAGACAGGAGGAATTATTTACAGATTGAAAGGAACCTAGTAAGAGGATAGAAGTGGGGATGAGGAGAGAAAAGTGTGGTTGTCCAAATAGTAACAAAATACATACATATACAGGTATGAAGATGCCACATTGAAAACCACTCCTTTCTACACTAACTAAAATTCAATAGATAATAATAACGGTCATATATAAAATATATTACCCGTGCCTAATGTTCTTTTTCCCACCCCATTGTTTCTGTATTTGGAAAGAAATTACTCTGCTTTAATATTAAATAAAAAGAGAATAGAATCATAAAATTATTACCATTTCTGGAAAATAATATAATAATGTGTTCTTTAAGTCAATAAATATCCACTGAGCCCTGAGGAATTTCTGGGTCCTGAGGATAGAGTAGTACATTCCATACATTCCATCTGGAATTCACTCAGCAAGAAACAGGGAACTTTACAAAGACCAGGGAAACCGTTACATTTGTAGGCGTTCTTCAGTTAATCTTTTCAAAGACAGCATTACAAACATAAAAGGGTCTAGCCTCCAGATGTTTCACCTTGTGTCCCTTTGTGACATTATACATTGAAAAGCACTGTGAATTAGAAATAACCTCAATGTTCAGTACTAAACAGCAAAATAAGCTATAACTACTTAATGAAACTTCAAAATGATGGTTTCGAAGCTTATGTAATTAGTATAAAGGCATTTGTGATGAAATGTTATTTGAAAAAAGATGTATAATTGCACTAATAATGTGGACATCAGTGTTTGAAATATGCAAATAAAGACTAGATGAAAATGTACCAATTAGGCTTGTTGGCTTATTTAATTTGTTTTGGGTTTTTGTTATTTTTTTCTTAAACCAAAGTCTTGCTATACAGTGCAGGCATGGTTCTCCTGCTTCAGCACCCTGAGTACTAGAATTACGAGCATACACCACCAAGCCTAATTCCAAACTATACTTTAATGCAAAGATAACAAAGATCACTTATGGTGTGTCACCTGCATGCCAAGGTATCTTACATGCTTCATTACACTTGCCTGTGATTCTCATGCTCACGAGGCAGACAGCATTATTCAAATGCCACCCAGAGAAAAGGTTGGGCTACAAGATGAGGAAGGGCTCAGATTAAAACTCGGGTCAGGCTGACTCCAAAGGCAGGCTCATTATAACCACTAAACACTGTCTGCAACACTATAATGGGGAAAATAAGTTTTTGCTTTTAACTTCCTTGCACTTTGCTTTTTAAATAATGACAACACAACAACCGGTCATTTGCTTTGTGCCAAGTCCTGACCTGTGTTGTTTTATATAACGCATTTACTCCTTCCAAGGACTCTGTGAAGTGGGAACCAATGCTCTCTTCACTCTACAGATGAGGAAAATGAGACACGGATTTTAATGGCTTGTCCAAGGTCACACAGCTCTCCTGGGCAGCGAGTTGTCACAAACAACCCTACAACCCAATTTAAAACATCTACCAGTTATTCAATTCATATACCAGTTATTCAGAAACATTTTGAAACAAGCCTCATAAAAATTATGTAAAAGATTTTAAAAGTCTTTTGAAGGAAACAATCATAATTTTAAATTTTAACCATTTCAGATATTTATAGAAGATTAGAGATTCATAAAGAAAAAAACAGTCAAGTGTTTTTGTATTTATTTATTTATTTATTTTGTGACAGGGTTTCTCCGTGTAGTCCTGGCTGTCCTGACACTTACTCTGTAGACAAGGCTGACCTCGAAATCAGAGATCCACCTGTGTCTGCCCCCCAAGTACTGGCTTTAAAGTTGTGCACCACCACTATCTGACAACTGTCAAGTTTTCATCAAATGTAAATATATTTAAAAACAAAAGCTATACCCCACTAACACTCACTGATCAAGAAAAATTTATTATAGCCTTTAAACTCTATTTAACCTGGGAATAAATGTGAAAAAAAAGTTAATTAACTGCAAAAGACACCATTTTCTTTTGCTCAGAAAATTTGGAGAAAAATAGGAAAAAAAAAAAGTTGAGAACCAGGTGTGATGGTCCATGCTTGTAATCCTAGCACTGGGAAGACTGAGGCAGGAGGACCAACAGGAATTCAAGGGCATCCTAAATTCCAGGCCCCTAGGATGCGAGGATACTGTCTCAAAACAAAGCAATGACGACAACAAATTCCGGGAAGAACAAGGGAGAAAATGAAGAGTAAGCGGAAGGGAGAGGGGATTCAAGGCAGAAGGGAGGGGAGGACATAAAAGGAGTGTATGACAGCTCCAAGGAAGAAAGATAGCTGAGGACCGATGTGTAAAAATGAGAGATCCCAGACAGCAAGAAGAATTGAAAACGGAGAGGGGAGGAAGAAGGTGGGGAAAATGTATTTGAAGGTGGCAAAAAAAGACATCACTCCAACAAACTCAGGGTCCCTAAACACATACTCCTTTTCCCTGAAACAGGCAGACACCCAAGCCTCTTTCTCATCACAACTGCCGAGGTCCCCCAAAGGGTAGGCCCAACAAAAGGGGTCCAGCAGGAGAAAATTAACTTCTACCACAGAGCAGAGATAAGAAATCACCCCCAAAGAGGCAGAGGACCCAAAGGAACAAGTCCCCACATCAGGGAACCCAGGGGACTTTTAACTAGCATGGCCCGGGGTGCAAGCACAGCATTGCAGATGGACTATCAGGACTACCGGTAAGAAATGGAGTCACCTTTCCAATCCAAACAGCCATTCCTACACTTCTGAATTTAACTCCCAAGCCGAGATGACTGATGGGATTTTCTGGTCTTTTGGGTCGAACTGGGGAGCCTTAATTTAATGCAAAGAGTCTAGCTGAGGAAAAGCTGGGACTTAAAAACGTGGTCTTTTTGATCCACAGCAAATCTGACCACAAAAGCATTCAGTCTGCACAGTGCGCATGCACCGTCCCTGTTCTCTGTCTTTCTTTCCTCTTTTTTCCCTTTTTTATTTCTTGTTTTATTTCTTTTTGTTGTTGTTGCCTCTTGGTACAGCCCGTTTCAGCTTTAAGTTCTATGCCTGCCTCAGGTTTATATGGAGTAGGTAAAGATTTATGGTGGCCACAAACTCCTGTTTCCTCTGCCTTTCTATATTTGAGTCTTGTGCAACAAACAGAGAGAACGAGCTGGGGAAACTAACACTTTGGTGGGAGATTTGATCCAGGACAATGGCAAGAATTCAGCTCCCGAACGTCCTAGTGCCTGGCTGAGTGGAACAAATGAACACTAGAAAAAAAGAGTGTCACAGTAAGAGCTGAGAAGGCAAGGACACTTCCTCTCCTGTCTACAAATGTCTGCTTCAAGGCCATAGTTACACCAGATGCTCTTGGAGTTGGGCCATTCTCTTGCCTCATCTCCTCACCTAGACTTTTGTCTTCACACTGGGCAGCAAAGAGAGTGGGCTCCAAAATCACACAGCCTTGATTCAAGGTCCAGTATTGTGTGCTGCCATGTCCACAGCTGCAAGAGGGGAACATAAGAATAACGGCGGCCTCTTTTCCAGGCTACCAGGAGGAGAAATGTTTGGGAAATTATGAAGTGTCTGGATCAGTGTGCAATCGCTGATTACAGCTGCTATCTTTATTCTATCTGGTCTCCCTTAGAGCTTCTAAATTGTATTTATGGGAGGGATAGATCAAAAATAAGTCATCCTGCTCTATTACTGGGACCAAGATTTCAAAGAGTTACGAGTTTTATAATATGCGGTTTGCCTCATATGAACAGGACTGTGGTACAAAATTATAAAAACCCTACTGCATGCTCACGGCCTCTCCCATTAACCAGTGTTTTATTAGCATGTATCATATTTTTAATATTCTGTTATCTCCGCTACACCTAACCATCTACCTTTTAAATGAATTACATCTGATGCTCTTTAATCTCTATGTAACTAAAAATATTTATTATTATGCACGGGTAAAGACTAACAAGGCAGAAAAATGTTATTTAGAGATAAGGGGAACTAGGAGAGAATGAAAAATACATATAATTTTAGAATTCAAAATGACTTAATTCAATCTGATTTTACAAAAAAATAAAAGATGATAGTTTAGATCAGAGCAACCAGAATGAACAACATAGTTATCAGTTTGGACAAAATAGGTTCTGGGTTTCCGACCTCCTGGCCAGATCAGAAACTCATTGCCACACCATGTAGACATGGTCTCTCCTACCACCACACAAACAATGACCCCATACATATCCGAACCTCAGGAAACCACTCCTAACCTTTCAGACAAGTTGAGTTCCCAGATTTCACCTTGTTTGGAGAAAACACTTCCAGAATTTCAGCTGACTGACTTAAGAGTTCTCAAAAGCTACAGCGCTGAGCAAAGCCCATTACAAACAGATGAATTCAAATGAGCCACCCAGGGATTTGGGATTCCTAGGTCTCACAGTCAAGGCAAAACACACACACACACACACACACACACAAAATAAATAAATAAATTAAATAAAAAATAAAACCAGTATGACTCATAGACCTCTGAGTCTGAGATGTCTTCTGCAGGAAGACTGTGTTATTGGAGACTAAGATTCTAGTGACAACAGAATAAGCAGAGAGCGAAGAGGGAAGCGTTCAAGAAGAAAGACCTATCGAGAAGGAAGTAGTTAAGAAGTAGCATCCTTGGTATTCTCATGGCATCAAGTGACCTAACTATGACCTGAATAGGTCTAGCTGAGCACTCGAGTGGGATTCAAAAGCATTATCACCAGACATAAATAAGAGCTGGAAGAGGCTTCCAGAACTGAAGCATATGAGAGCATATTTCATCTGGCATTTCAAGTGGTTCAAGTCACATAAAGAATCTTAAAAGAATGCACACAGGAAAGCAGGAAAAGGAAGCCCGCAGTCCTCAGTCTGCATGCTACACACAGACGTCCTCATGGCATGCCTGTCACTTGGATGCTGCCGAACAACACTGTTTCTTGCTCTGTTACTCTCTCTCGGGATTACTGACTTTAAAATATCCACTTTTTTAGAGTTGTGACCACCTATGCGAGTGTATTCATAGGACACACCATTCTCAGTTAAGGAACTCAGCATTCACACAACACCCACATCAACATCGCACAACATAAAAGCCCAGGGGGGAACTGAGGCCAAACGATGTGAAAATGGCAGAATCAGTAACTGTTATCATTTCCAGAGTGGATAATCAGAGGGTTGGAGCTGCTTTTGCTTCTGCTTCACAATTCTATGAGCTAAAAATAATCAGCCCGACAGTTCAAAGACACCAAGTCATTCAATTTAGACAAGCACAATACTGAACTGGTAGGAGAAGCTATAAGCGGGCAGAATTATTTTGGAAAGGAACTTAATAATACATATAGGTCTTAACCCAAGAAGCAATCAGAAATGTACAGAAGTTTTCATACTCTGGAATTTGACTCAACACTATTTCCAATAGTGGAAAAAAGAAACTAATAATAAAAGCTATTATATAAAAAGGATATTATGCAAACTGTCAAGCTTTCAAGGAATATGTACTGTCTACCACACACCTGTAATTGGGATGCAATGGCAGGGACCTAAAGCTCAACTTAAGCATGAGCTATGTAGAGTTTGAGGTAGCTTGGGCTATTTGTAAAAACATATCTGAACATAGTGGACAATGAGGACTACTGAGAACTCAAGAACAATGGCAATGGGTTTATGACCCTACTGCACGAACTGGCTTTGGGGGAGCCTAGGCAGTTTGGATGCTCACCTTACTAGACCTGGATGGAGGTGGGTGGTCCTTGGACTTCCCACAGGGCAGGGAAACTTGATTGCTCTTTGGACTAACGAGGGAGGGGGACTTGATTGAGGGAGGGGGAGAGAAATGGGAGGCTGTGGCAGGGAAGAGTCAGAAATCTTTAATAAATAAATAAAAAAAATTTAAAAAAAAACTGTTGTGAGCTGCTTTGGCTCAGAGAAGGTGGGACAGAAGCTCAGGCATCAAGCGCGTGTAGTGGAGCCAACTCCTTCCTTGAGCCAGTCAGATAAGAATA